CTTTAGCATTCTAGGAAATGAAGTTATGGGAATCTGGTCCAGGCATGCTGAGAAAGCAGATGTCACCTGTGCCTGTGTGTCCCATTCAGGAATCAGCCTTGTGACAGGAGATGACTTTGGCATGGTTAAGTTGTTCGACTTCCCATGCCCTGAAAAATTTGTAAGTGTTTGAGGTTTAGCATTTTATATAATTATAATCTCAATTAGATGTCTGATAATTAATACATTTCCCCACATAATAGCTAAATTGTGTTGTGTTCTGCTCTGGTAATACTTTGTGTTCTTAAATTTTTTCCCCCCAAATTTCCTAAATCCCTTACTCTGAAATAATAACTATTAGAAATTATACCCCTGCCCCAAAGTAACACCCATCTTTGCAAATTATTCTAATAAAAAGCTGTGATTGGTCTTTTTTATCAAACATTTACCAAATTTCAAATGCTTTTCCTCAGAGGAAAAGTTTCAGAGTAATTGGAGACATCTACCCGCCCAAATCACCTGGTTTGTGTTAAGTGCTGACCCATTACTAATCTGAAAAGCACTTGATCACTGGCTATGGTCCTAACTGCTTCCTCCTCTTTCACAGCCCTGGGGATGGGAAGTTATGGTCCCTTGTAGCAACCTTTGACTTTTGTGTACATCACATACCTTGAGCTTAGTTTTTCGTTTGTTGTTTTTTTCAGGCAAAGCATAAAAGGTTCTTAGGTCATTCACCCCATGTGACAAATATTCGATTTACCAGTGGGGATCGACATGTGATTAGTGCTGGAGGTGATGACTGCAGGTTGGTAACTTTTCAGCCCAAGAAATCTCTTTGCTAGTTAAGAGATTTAGTACCACTTCTACAGCGGCAGTTTGGGGACTCACTTAATTGTCAGCATCGGAAGGTAGCAAAAGCAGATGACTCCTTGGAGTCACGCACTATGTATAAATACAGAATAAAAGGAGTTAATGCAGAAAACTTTTATACATGTATGGTTTGAAAAACTTAACTGTGCTGCAAACCTAGAAATATAATGAACTCATTGCAGGTTTCCTCTGGTTGCAGTTTGTTTGTCTGGAAGTGTGTACACATGCCTCATTGAAAGACGTGGATGCTGGGAAGACTGAAAAAAAACAGCCTTGAGAAACCAGAATTACAGAAGAGGGAGAAATCAAGTGGTGCTAATTTAAGAATGTAACAGGGATATATGCCCAGAATCATCAAAATATAGGATGGATAAGTTAAAAATATTTATTATATGCACTGAATAACTGTAATCCATACACTGCCAGATAATTACATTTCAAGGAGGACGAAATAAATAATAGTGAGAGCCCAACCCCATTTGGGGGGAGTGTGCAAATTTGGCAGACCTGCCAGCAAGGCAAACCAAAACCTTAAAAACCCAACTCGGATTATTTTCATCATCCTTTAACAAAATGCTTTCCTTTTAGAAAGTTTGTGGTTCACAGTTTAGTGAAATATATCCTTATGTTTCTGTAAGGAAAGGAAACACCATCCATCACCCTAAAGGATGTCTTTAGAAGGCAAACCTTATTTTCCCTGAGGAGACACACACAAGCTTCCCTGGAGGACATACTATTTCTGCAGCATCAAGAAAAGCCCTTTTTAGAAATGACAATGTTCTTCTAGTACTTGTAGTACAGGTACAAACCCAAAGCTATTAGTATATGATTGCTACATTTTCATTTTGAGCTGTCCAACTTTACATTCAGAAGTTATTGAAAAGATAAAATTATACCCTCAGTAATGAAAAAGAAGTAGATGAACAATCATTTCCAACTGTGTACTGTTTTTTAAGGTTTTAGATAGCAATAGTATTTAAGTGGGAGAGCATACTGAATATTTAAAGATATACTCCAATAGAAACATGTTTAACATGTAAACTAAAGAGTTAAATTCACATTTACAAAGTGATACAATTTAGTTAATTCTTGAAAAAATATTTTTACAGCCTTTTATTTTTTTAATTGGAAAATCTGTTTAAGATGTATACCACCCGCAGCCAACTTCCGAAAGGAATGAATGCAAGTTCACTTTTCAAACTTGTCTATTTCTTTTTGGTGGGTTGGGGCTGAACTCTTAGGTTTTTATTCCTATTCACTTTAAATGCTGCCAAAGATCAGTATTTGCCATTCAGGAATTTGCTGTTTAGCCTATCTGTAGTTTCCTGAAGATTGGAAATTATGTAGACTGATATTTAAAAATATATTTTTCTAAGTGTGAAGAAGATTATGATGCTCTATTGGTCCTAAGAGTTTTTATTTTAATGTGTTATATTTGTAGCATAAAAGGCCCCTTCAGGTGTCTGGGAATCTTAGTTTTGTATGTCCAACGCCTTGTAAATACTAGGAACAGAAATGGTCAGATTACATCACAAGGAAGCCTAAAAGTGATTAAAGCTGGTCAGTTTTAAAGCTTGGAATGCCTGTGTCGGAAAGGACTGATTAAAGGTGTTTAAGAAACTTGAGACGTAAGATCATATTCTTTCCTTATTTACATCAATAGTCTCCTAAATACAGGCAAATTTTGGAATACACTAATATTACATTTCTATTCATGTATATTATAAAGGAGCAGTCAACAAATTAAAGGGGAAAAAATCCCCTGAACCCCTCTCTCCCTCCATTTTTGAGACTTTTGGCAGTCACATTGGCAGGTTTTTGGCTTAAGAGAAATTCTATTTCCATTACAATGCAGATAGAAACTCTACTCACCTTAAGCAAGTAGGATAAAACTGCTTCATTGCTTTTTCTTCCTTCCAAGTGGCCAACTTGATAAGCCAACCTTAATCTCTGCTGTCAGTTCATGACTGAAGGTCATGCTGAATTTAAAGAGTCATCCCACAAGTACCTTGCTCTTTTGCTTCCACCTGCCATCAAACTAAGGGAAGGTGAAGAACCACACAGACCGTGGAGATCCTGCTGTTGGTTTTTTAACCCAGAGAGAGTTATGTGTGTGCAGTACCGGACTACGCACCGGCATTGGTAAGCTGAGGCTTCTGGCACCTTGAGCCCTGTCTCTGTATATAAACGCATGCCAGAGCGCACTGTACTGTGCCACGCACTGCTTACCGTGAGCCGCACCCGTTCCCTTCCACTTTTTGTAATCCTTTTGGATGATGATGGTTCATTTTAGACCAAGTTACCCAACAAATGTTTTGGAATCAACCTTAGCTCTCCCATAAACCATAGCCACTGAAAGATAAAACTCTCAAATATGTCTCCAGGCAATGTCTATTAAATAACAAGAAACAATTCAATCTTAGCATGTTAGCTCCTTGTAAAATGGCTGAACTAAACCACTCCAGCCCTTGTTTCTGACTTATGTCTTTTATAGTGGAATTATGACACTGCAACTACAAAACATTTATAAACGATGATACTAAATATCTGTTTAGATTTCTGGAAGTACAATTTAAAACAAATTTCTTCTGCAGAGATGTGAACAGCATCTCAGCACTAACACTGGAATGAACATATGCCTTAAATTCAATGGAGCCGCTTTTTAGAAGAGGAACCGTCACTTCACTCACGCCTCCTTGGCGCCTCTGTGCTCCCCTGTGTTTTGTCTTTACTTTGGAATCAGCACAGCAAAGTGCAACTTACAAAATGGTCAATAACAGTTATCTTTCCTCTCCCAATGGAAAAGCAGTGGCCACAAAAGGACAGACTGCTGGTTTCAGGCCCTTAAACATGAGTGGTTTCTTTCTCTCTTGGGGATGTGATTGAAGTCACAGAACTTTTTTACAGTTACATTTAAGTTGGTCGTCAGAATGTTTGAGTCTTTATTATCCCTTTTGCATTAATTCGCTTTTTTCTAACCAACTTTTAGCTTTAGTTTTTAAAAAACTATACATCAAGTCTTTAAAATCAGTGATCCGTTTAATTCTAAAGTTTTTGACACTTCTTGCCTTAACAATTTTAAAAACCACAAACACATAACTCTATTTTAATTCAGTAGTCAAAAAGTTTAGTCCTACTTTGCAATTTATCCATCTGATCTCTGTAATTATATAGTCTGCCATTTAAAATATACTATTGAAATCTAATTTATACATTTAAAAAATTATCTTCAGTAACTATATTTTCTGGAGTTATTTCTGAGAATGTTTTTCAGAATGGGAGAATGTATATGTATAGCTATATAATCTTGTGAATTTTAAGTCTGTTCTCTGATACCTATGTATATATACTTGTAAAAACTTTTGTATAATTTTGTGATAATGTAGTTCTCAAAAATATTTATTTTAAAAGTATATGTTAAAACGAAACATTTTAAGAAACTGTTCTTTTTCTTTTTGCCATTGGCATCCCAGCTGTTTTCACTCTACATGCCCACCTCAATCATCCTTACCACAAGGCAAAATCTAGCTATTTGGGAACCATTTGCCAAACCAGCACACAACCTAAGAAGCCAAACTTAATCACTTAAAATTAAAAAGTAGGATGGACTATTTAAACTACCTCAACACTTTTGACCACTCTTTTTAGTGGATCTTGAACGTTATATAATCCCTGGAAAGAATGAAAATAGCAATCCAACTTTTGGAATAGGGATGTTCCCTTCACTATATTTCTCTGTATACACACGCGCACACACACATACACATACACACACACACACACACACACACTCTCTCACAGGAACATGTAGCCCCAAACTAGATTATCTGTACTGACAATATCACCAGGTTGTACATGCTGATACCCGAAACAGCAGTGTACAAACACACCAGGTGTTTTAATAGAATTCAGTTTTTCCTTAAACTGTCTTTCCATAGTGAAAACAAGGCAAACAACAAAAACACAAAATGTTAAAACCACTTAATAAACTTACAAACTTGAAAAATTAGGTACTTCGGATAGGCAATAACTTCATATTATGAAAGCAATATATTCCAAGTTTCAAAGATTTGACAAGTTCTACAGAATCTTTTTCATCAGTAGATGGAAACTTTCAAACTTCATGATCTTCTGCCAGGTAGGACTGGGTGTTATTCACTGAATAAAACCAAAAAAATTTTAATTAACTGTTTTGCATCCCCATATACCACATTATCTTAATTAAGAAGTTGAATATCTTCAGACAATATTTGTTCTACAGATTATGATGCAAATATCAGATTTTAAAAGGTACATAAAAGATAACATGAATTTATAGGCCACTCTAAAATGTTTTGAAACTTTTCCCCCTAATTATTAATGTCTAAGAAAACTGATATGAGATTTGTAAGCAATGTAACTCCTGAAGGCCTTAGTGTGTGTGCAGATGAAGTTATAAAAGAAACTTTCTCTGGAGATGATCCAGGGAAATAAGCAATTGCTGGATAAAACAAAATTGGCTTCCAAAGAACACATAAAATTAAACATCAGAGAAAAGGCAGTGATAATTTATTCCACATTTGTGTGCTTATAAATTTAAGAAACTACAAAGTAGAAAAGTATTTGAATTGACATTAGGAAAGCTAATGTTCATCTTTACCTGGTTTGAGGCCGGATCCATTTCAAGGCATGTCGTGGCGGCACAGTAATGGTGGGGTGATAAAACGTGCAGTCAGGTCTTGTACACTGAGTGTTAAATCTACAGTGCTAAGGAGAAAGAACGGTTTCAACACATGCCAAAGTTAATACAAACAAAAACGCCAATTAGTGACTAATAAGCCCATCCTAACAATGGGGCAAGAGATATGGTCTGTCACATTAATTTTATTACTACTGAAACCTTGAAAAATGAACCCCCCACACACACACACTCCCAGTCACAGAATAACAGCACCAAATTTCAAAAAGAACCTTAGCACATAATCCACTACTTCTAATCAATGTAGCAATAGTCCTGCCTAACACCCTAACATTCTCCACTGGGCACGGCGCCCTCAGCTATGCCCAACTGCAGCTGAGGGAAGTGAAGGCCTTCTATATGGTCTTCAGGCTGCTATTTCAGAGATCACTACTCTGAGCAATTAAACAGTGAGAACACATCAACCAGTCTTTAGTACACAGACAAAAGATCAGAACAAGTCTGGATGGCAGTAAGCTGGACTTACTAATCTCATCTCAGTTCTGGCATTAGGAAACGAAAAAACCACGGACAGGCTCAGGGGCAGTGAAGAACGGACGCGAAGAACAGAAACCAGTAAAGGGGAGCTTAGAAGACTGACTCAGTAGTGTCACACCACTCGGCCAAGGAGAGACAGGCTGAATGACACTAAGGAATAACTTAAAGATCTTAAAGACCTTCAACTTACCTCTAACAAAAAATAAGTTAAAGGAGGTTGCGGAGAAACTCAACCTCAATTTGCTAGTGATTTTCCAGGTCTCTCAACTGAAAAGATATCACTAAATTCAGTTTTGGGAAAATAGGTGGGGGTGAAGGGTTGAGAGAAACCAAAGGACTTGTTTGCATGCATATAAGCCTAACCAATGGACACAGACACCAGAGGGGTAAGAGCATGAGTGGAGGGATTGGGGGGGCAGTGGTGGGATAAGGACATATGTAATTCCTTATTAAAGGGAAAAAAGTTCTTACTTTTGGATGATAGAAGGGACATTCCATTTTCTTACAAGCAGGGAAGTAACGGCAGAGCTGACTACTAGAAGTAGGTGTTGCTGTTAAAACTGCTGACAAAAATAATAACAAACACTGATCAAATTTATTTGGCAAAATAATTTTTAATGCATTCTGATGTTTTTATGGGAATCATTTTAAAATTAAAATATGAATGATGATTCATATATATTCATTAGTGAAGATAAAAGTACGTAAGAATACTATAGTATGCATACACTTCCTCTTTGGAGATTCGTTACGTAATTGATTATGCTACAATTTTGAAATTATTCCTTTCACAAAATGCCATTTATTTTATTTTACCAAAAAGTAGTAGTGCACAAAGTCACTAACCTGGTTTTGGAGGCAGTACTGGAATTCTTCTACTCATATGAGTGAAGGGACAATCTGGCTTAGTACATTTTGCATCATATTTACAATTTGGATGGACAAACAAACATTTTTCAGCAAATTTACAATTGGGGAAAGCCCTATAAAACAACAAAAAAAGCATATTATTCACACTTAATCTTCTAAATGCATTAGTTTTTTTTTTTTGTAGAGGGGCTCCTTATACTCATATTCGATCACTACTTGTTTTCAGAAATAAAAAATAGCAAGAGAAGGAGACTCCATTTTTAAGTGAAGCCATATATCAAAATAGGATACAACTATTCCAAAGCCTGGGATAATAAGTTTCCCAATTCCAGTTAAGTCACATGAAGGGTAAAAGTGTTTTTGGTGATAATGAAAATCACACCACTTAATTATTAAAGTCTATGTTTATATATTTTATCAAGTAAACACTATAGTGAGCATAAAATTTGTACAAGGGATTGTGCTCCCAAAAAGAATACCTGTCTCACATGATCTCCCTATTTATACATCAATATTATTCTCATATCAAAATCTCCTGAAATTAAAACATGGAGTGAGTCTACCTATAGAACAAAAACAAAATGTAAAAGCCATCTCTCAAAGTTCATTCCATTTCACCAGCAAGCAGGTAAGGAAAAATTATACCCAAGTCCAAAATATTTTCTCATTACCTATTATATAGTTTTTCCTCAATGCCTTAACATTTGGGTACGTATGGATGAACACAATGCATACAAATGGGGATAGTTAATATACCCACCTTAAATGTACAGAAACTGGAAGAAAACCCAGAATTTCATCTCAAAGGCCCGAGGCACAAAGAAGCCACCTCCCATCTCCCCATTCCACACACACACACACACACACACACACACACACACACACACACACACGCTGTTCAGTCCGGGGCCGTGGTAAGTGTCAATGAATTTAGCTACAAAACTCAAACTTGGCCATAAAAAAAAAAAAAGCTAACTACATGATCAGATAATAGGAATTAACCTGAGGACCAGAACTGGTTTGCTGCTACTCACTTGCAAGGTGAAATCGGGTGGTGGTAAGCACATTCATCCCCGTTTTTGCAGGCAGGCCAGTACTTGCAGCGCTCCAAAAGTTTTTCTGGCTTCTGTGCCACACTCAGTTCACTCATCTCAGCTACAAGGGAGAGGAATTAAAAGAATATATTAATTATGATCAATGCAGTACATGGCACTTTTAATAAATTTCCCTCAAAACCCAGTCTTAAAATCGTATCTTCTATGTCCATATTCATATGAAATAAATGAGTCCAAGTAATCTGAACAACACTGTAAAAGAATCCTGCAAACAATCCAGGAAGCAGACTAGTTGGCATTATGGAAGTAAAGTGAACAGTAACACTGCAACTAGGGCCAAAGTTCTCATCAAAGCACATGCCTCAAAAATACTTCAGAGCTGATCAAATATAAAAGAGGGAAGAATGTCAAATAGAGAGTCAATAAAATGAAATGCCGATTGAAAACACAAGCTGATAAAAAAAAAAAAAAATGTGAATGAATTCTCATTCAGGCAAGTTCACCAGCGGTCCCAATACAAAAATGAGGTATGCCCACTTTTCTAAGTCCAGGTGATAAATTTGGCAATGTCTTCAGAGCGAGAAGAAGACTTTTGCCTAAAATGGGTCCAGCAGATCACCTGACAGAGTACACCTGGCTGGATGTAAGACCAGGGCAATCCGTCTCCTTGTGGATCAAACGGGTAGGGAAGAGCAAACTGAGGCCAGTGTCCACACCATCAGATGGCACACGCACTGCCATGGCACGCACCACGTTCTGTCCAATTACAGCGTCAATTACTGTGTCTTCAGAAAGTGGGACCATGTTGCCAGACTGTCTCCTGATTCTGCAAGCCAAAAAACCTTTATACATGACGTTTACATTTTAAATGCTGGCAACTAATTCAAATTTAAAACAGAATAAACCAAATGAAGTTACACCTGGTAGATATCAAAAAGTTACCAAATTCTGGTCCAACACATCCAAATCCCGCTCCCAATAGCACCATGGGTTTCACCTATTATTGCTCATATTCTTGTGTGTGAAAGCAGGTATCACTTGGACTACATCTCTTACAGAGCTGTTCAAATTCGGCGCTGTAACTTACGAGGGGGCGAGGCAGACACTGAGCGAGTGCTATCTACCATCTCTGAATGTCAGGCTCCTCATTTACACAGAGGAAATAATGTCTTCCTTAGTTTATGATTAAATGAAAACAAGAATGCAAACCAGGTAATCAATCAAAGCCTAACAATACAGTGGCCCAACTTCAGTCTTTATTACAGGATAACAAGGCACACACATCCGGTCCTGAAGCCGTTTGGAAGATCAGCAGCACTATTATGACTGTTCCAGGCTCCTTAGTAAGTCATCATTTATCTCCAGGTTAAAAGTATCCTTAGTTTTAAATAAAACCTGGTAGGGCCAGAGGATTTTCTTCAAATTTAAGTGATTTTTGTGTCACCCCTGCAGAGATGTGTCTGTCTGACCTTCCTCCTAAACAACATTCTTTAGACTATGGTGTTGTGTGGCAATCCAGGACAAATGAGAGAAGTTAACAGAATACCCTTACAGGCTGCTGGAAAGTGGAAGAAGTGGCAACTCACAAGCATATTAAAGAGGTTAAATATTGCACAAGGAAACTGTATCTTTCTGATAGAAATGTTAAAACTATATATGCGAAAGCCATGACTCTGATTTTCCCTAACACTTACTTCATAGGCTATTAAAACTTTTCCTGTTTGCATTTTAAGGGTAGATTCCCTTTCTGCTGCAAGCTATATAATCTGTACTGCTGTATCATGGCCAGTGGGGGTGACTTCAAACGGCTGTTGCTGTTGGTAGCATCCTGGAAACAATGGACAAAAAACCACCAAAAGCAATTACAAAGTTTCAAACTCCCTGCTCAGAGGGGGAGAGCAGCGAAAGAGACCAGCCTCTCTGTGACTGCTGTTCAGGAGTCTCTCCAGCCTCTATGTCCTTCTACAAAGTTTCCTCCTGGAGCAGCAGTGTAATACACTGAGTCCCAGATCAAAGCCATGGTGAAGGAGGCTCACCAGCATCAGGGCTGCCTCCATAATAGCCACTGTATGTGTGTCACCAATGACATGCATACCAATAAAGCCTAGCAGACATCTACTTTTAAGTGAAACTAGACCCTAACATATAAAAAATTAAGCTGCCAAATTGAAAACCAAAGTAGTAAAAGCACCAGAATTTTCTCTTACTTTAAACAAAATATACAAGGTCAAGAAATGTGTAGTGCCCAACTTGCAGTTCTTATCCTCTTTGTTTCATTTTAAAACCGTTCCTCCTTTCAATAGGGTTGTTTTCAACTTGTGCCACCAATCAAAACCCTAACACGATATTATTGCCTCATTCAGTTCACGATAATAGAGATATCCCTTCACTTACTCATATCTCCCCCTAAGGGCTATATTTTTAGCTATTAAAAAAGCATTTAATACATTTCCATATATCTGCAAAGAAATTTTACTTCAGAAAAATTTCAAAACCCATTATTTTTTATCTTTGATACTGTTCATTAAGATTTAGTAATTGGCCAGCTGGTGTGGTTCAATGGTTGAATGTCAACCCATACACCAAGAGGTCGGCAGTTCAATTCCAAGTCAGGGCACATGGCTGGGTTGCGGGTTCGATACCCAGTGGAAGCCATTCAGGGGACAGCCTTCTGATGTTTCTCTCTCATCAAAGTTTGTCTCTCTTTCTCTCCCTAAATCTCTTTCTGGCTAAAATCATTAAAAACATATTTTTTAAAAATGTATGCCGGGACCGGTTTGGCTCAGTGGATAGAGCGTTGGCCTGAGGACTGAAAGGTCCCAGGTTCGATTCCGGTCAAGGGCATGTACCTTGGTTGTGGGCACATCCCCAGTGGGGGGTGTGCAAGAGGCAGCTGGTCGATGTTTCTCTCTCATCGATGTTTCTAACTCTCTGTCCCTCTCCATTCCTCTCTGTGTAAAATCAATAAAATCTATTTTTTTTTAAATGTAGTAATTGCCACCCCTGTCAAAGTAGGTGTTTCCACAAATGTGAAGAGGTCTGAGGAGCATGGCTATTCTCTATTCTGAGTGAAAATGATCAGTAGCTATACTTGCCACTGATATCCAGAGAAAACCCATAAGAAAGGCTCATCTGCCTAAAAGCATGTCACTATCTGAAACGAGTTGATCTGACTTCTAAATATTCTGCTTAAATATTAATTTAGACGTAAGGACTTTTCTTAATGTCCAAGAACTATTTTGACAACTAGGTGAGAAACTTTACTCAAGAGAATTTCACTGAAGGAGAAATAGCATCAAAATTCAAATTCATTTTTCTATCAAGTTAATTATAACAGAGACTATTGCTGGTGAAAGAGTAAAGTAGCCAGTATAGTTTCTTTTTCAGAAAAAGGTGGACAGGAATTAAGAATGACAGTCATTCTCTGACAAGCCTCCATGGCTGAATAAGAGGTATTTTTGGCCTCCATGGCTGAATACCATGTTAGCACTGAAATAACAGCCAACATTCCCAGGAGAGACAGTCTCAAATTTAACTGGTTGTTTTGTCTGGAAAAAATAAAAGCCACTACTGAAGAATAAATAAAAGCAAGGCCTCTAACCAGTATGCATTCAAGATAGAAAAATAGGTCAAAGATTTCTTTCTCAATATCAGCGCCCTAAGAGTTTGGAAAGGCTGAGCTCTCAACACACCGTGTGCAAAGCTACCATTGGGGTCATCAAGCTGCCTGCTCATCAACTGCAACTGCTGTGGGTGGAGGAGACCTCTGAGTCCCTGGTTTGAGGCTGCAGTTTGGTTTACAGGTTTCATTCCTTCAAAGCACATGTCCTCCTCTTGATCTGACATGTATCCTGGGGGGCTGGGAACACCATCCAGCGTCACTATAAACTTGGGACTTGCAGGTTTATCTGGTTGTACAAGATCTCTGCCAGATAGATAGAAAATACCATAGAATTAGGGAAACGAACACATAAAGCTGAGCCTCCTAATGTGCTCTTTAGCAGAACTATTGCTCCCTTACTTGCTCTGTCATTTCTTCAGTAAAAAAAAAAAAAAACTCTAAAGAACTTGCAAGTACAGCCTCGGTGGATTCCTGCTACCACACACACACTGGCTGCGGCCCATCACTGTGGCAGCATCACCAGTGACCCCCGGGCTAAAGCCAATTTCTCTTCAACTCTCACCCCCACCGCCATCTAAGGCTCATAGGGTCACACGGAAATAAACATCCATGCCCACAGCACAATAGCCAGCTGTCTACATTTATGCTAATTCTATTATCATATGTTTCTTAGAACATTTAGTTAATTATCTATTTAAGGGAAGGATCATCCCAACCCAACTGGCTAACTCTGGAGGGATTTCCTGATTTTGGCCTTTTAAAATCTCATTTTCTGGATGCACATAAAGAAAAGAATCATTATTAACATTAAATCATATGCTGACTTATTTTGTAGGATAATGGATTTCTGAACAAGAAAGATGAACTGGAATATTTGAAACCTGAATTTGGCTTACTATCTACAGGGCCTAACTACTGAGTCAATAAAAGCACTCTACACATAGCGCCAGGATTGGGTGAAGGAACGTGTAAACTGGTCGTTTTCCTGCACTGCCCATCTAATGAACACAAATTAGCTACACAAAAAAAAAAGAAACCATCTACCGTGTCTGCATAAGGTGTCCTGAAAGTACCCGAAGGGTATCTGCGGTCTTCATCCCCGAATCTTGGTTTGATGCCACTACTATTTCCTCAGACAGCTTTGGCTTCTTCAGAATAAATGATCTTGTGTCTGCATAGACCAGGGATTCCATGTCATAGTAATCTGAGCCAAAAAAATTGGCCACAAATGTTTACTTTTGAATATACCTTTATTCCCAACATCACACACGTGAGAAGAACGTCAAGTTTTTAATATATATTTGTAATTATTTTCAAAGGAAAATCACAATGGTTCTACTCAAGAATAGAGCTGCAATTCTGTGCCAAACATCTTTCCAACGAAGCATTCTTTCCCTCTTCCAGCATATAACCAAGGAATTCTAGAACACTCCTTACCTACAGTATGGAAAGGTTCTTACATGAGGCATCTAATGGGATATTAATAATATGAACTTACTTTTAAATACAATACTTTCTAAAAACATGGAGAATAAAGAGCCCTAATGTTCCCTAGAATTATGATACAAAGACTGTGTAAAAAGCTTTCTAAAATCTGCTTTGTTCATTTTGCACAGTATCACTTAGAGAAATGAACACATCCTGATGATAAGAATTCAGCTGTCATAATTTCTGCCTGGTTATAAAGACCACTTTGAGAGAGGATTTTAAGATGAACAGACATTTAAAAAAATACAGCAAGGAACACAATGACCTTCAATGCAAATAAGTAGAGCTCACATTATCAGCAACATCATCTTAGGCCCAACACTTTATAAAATACACCAAGCCCTGAGTGGAGATGGCTGACCTATCAATATGCAGTCAACTGACTCAAGTTAATGAGCTCCACAGGTAGGCAAATAACAGAGACCAAAATTCGGACTATTCATTCATGTTCATTCCCTGAAAATAACTGAACTGAGAATACTTGGCTAGGTACACTCACAAAAAAATTTCAGAACCGTATGCCACAAAAAATGACCTAAAAGGAGTATAAGCAGGTAGGAAGAGTCCAGAACCTCTTCCAACTAGGAAAAGAAAAGCTTACAGAGGAGAAACAAGTGCAGCAGATACTAAAGGAATGAGTAGGAATAGATTAGGAGGGAAAGTGCTGAGGAGATACCGTATGGAGAAAGGCAGGGCTTCCCTCATTAGGAGCACAGGGATTTGAGGCAGGGAGAAGTGTGGTATGCTGGAGGGCTGTGTGTGGTGGGCTCAGCAGATGAGTGGCAAGGAAGGCTGAGGCATAAAGGAGTTTAAATTCTGGTCCAGAAGTAGTAAGTAACCCAGAGAGATTTCTAAGTAGGGAAGTCACATGTTTACACTGGTTTTCAGAAAAAAGGAACAGTGGTAAGATGGACTGGAGACCTGGATCTCAGTTATGAGGCTGTTGCTTAGGAGAGATGCTGAGGCTCCAAGTTAAAAGGTTATTACCCATTTTCCTAGTCTAACACCCTCCCATCAGCACCAGCAGCTCACAGCAGGCGTATTTTCACCTACTAACCCAAATAGGAGGCATGCCTATTGTCACTGCCTGTGCAGCAGAGACTGGTAAAGACAGGTGTATGAATGAGAGCAGGAGGAAGAGGAACTTGATGCAGGAAATAGAGGACAGGAGAAAGAGCTGATTTAAAAGAGGAAAAGACAGGTGCCCAAGACTGGAAACAACTAGAGGGTTCTTCCATAGATGACTTGATAAAAAAGATGAGATACATATATACATTGGAATATTACTACTCAGACATAGAAAAGATAAAATACTGCCACTTGCAATGAGTATCATGCTAAGTGAAATAAGGCAAATGGAAAAAGTCAACCACCATATGCGTTAACGCACATGTGAAATATAAAACTGAAACCAACCAACAAACAAGACACAAAAACTCTAGACACAGACAATAGCATATTGGTTACAGAAGGAAAGGAGGGTGGGAGAGGTAGAAGAGGATAAGGTGGTGATAAATGGTGATGGAAGGATTTGACATGGGGTGATGGGCACACAATGCAACATATGTATTATAGATGACGTATTATACAACTGCACATTTGAAACCTTCAAAGGATGAGGAAAAAGGAGGTTTACAGGTGTTCATATGGAAAATTATAAATTAATTAAAAATGCCCTAGCTGTTTGGTTCAGTGGATAGAGCATTGGCCTGTGATTGAAGAGTCCTGGGTTTGATTCCAGTCTGGGGCACATGCCTGGGGTTGCAGGCTCAATCTCCAGTAGGGGGTGTGCAGGAGGCAGCCAATCAATGATTCTCTCTCATTATTAATGTTTTTTCTCTCTCTCTTCCTTCTTCTCTAAAATCAATAAAAATGTATTTTTAAAAAATAACAGTACAAGAATAAACACTGTGTTTTGGATACTCACAACAGTAAACCTACTTTTGTCCCACCCTGGATCATTTTATTAACCAATGTTGTCCTGGTAACTGTTAATAAAATTAATAAAAAATAAAAGAGGGTAAAGATAAATCTGTTTTAGATTTATTTAGTTTGAAGTGTTGTGGGGCTCTCACATGTTCAGGTCAAGGTGAACTAGACAGATGGAACAGTGACATCTGGGTGAAGAACACAGGTGTCTGACCCAAGCATTTTGTTTCCTCCATTAACCCCACTAAAATATCAACAAAGGGTTAATTTTTTAAAAACCCACAAAGAAAATGATTGTGAGAGAAGATACAACCACACTTTGGAAGTAAAAAACCAACTTAGTAGATCTTCAAAAGCTGAGTCTGAAGCCAATAACGAAGCCAACCAGCATAGATCCCAAGACTCTCCAGCGGCTGAGAAATAGGGGACCTTGGGACTTCCAGGGGTGGACAGAAAGACGTGTGCTCCAGTGTCCATTTCAAGCACAGTTCGTTATTCCTAAAATCTCGTTTCTCTTCCCCTACCTCTATAGTGAAGACATTGGAATACTTGGAGATCCACTTTCTCACTGGTCACCATGGGAGACGCCTATGGATGAAGCACCCTGGTCTCTGACAGAAAGGTGCTACAACATGAACTAAATGCATACTATTAAAACTGTTAAAAGCAGGTTTCCTGATTTTAACCTCTGACCAGTTTCTCCCTTGGAGAAAATAACACTTTAGATTCTTGAGTTAAAAGCAGAGGGTCTTTGCACCAACGGATGCCAGCCAGGCTGAAAGAAGCACCATTCAGAAAACAGGGAGGGGCTTGTTAAGATGAAGATTCTGTAGTAATTTATGCTGAGATTTTACTTTCCCACTTGGCTCCCAGCCAGTCCATTACTTGAAAGGTCTTTAGAGAAGCTGACCAACCTACAGAAAAGGACTAAAAAACCCTGACATCAGGGTGCCCCAAACTAGATAGCAAGACACATAATACTCCACTGTAGATCTGTGTTCCTATGTGAGGTCCAAAGCACACACCTCTCAGCTAATTAGCCCAGAGCACCAACAGCCTCCTAAGTGCCCACTCTTAAATCTAAGACTACCAAGGGCCTGCAGTCATATGAGGAAAACCTCTTTCACAAAAGACAGTGATCAGCCGAGACCGGTTTGGCTCAAAGGATAGAGCGTTGGCTTGGGGACAGAAAGGTCCCAGGTTCGATTCCGGTCAAGGGCATGTACCTTGCTTGTGGGCATATCTCCAGTAGGGGGTGTGCCAGAGGCAGCTGATCGATGACTCTCTCTCATCGATGTTTCTAACTCTCTATCTCTCTCCCTTCCTCTCTGTACAAAATCAATAAAATATTTAAAAAAAAAAAAAAGACAGTGATCAAAACAAGTTTGGAAAAAGACAAGAAAAAAAAAGTCAGAAACTACCCTCAATATCCTCAGAGAAATTAGAGGAAGTACTGCATACATGAAAGAAAACCAATATGTTTTAAAAAATAAAAAAAATAAAAATTGTAGACCTGGCTGGTGTGGCATTGGTTGTCCCATGCACAGGAAGGTAATGGGTTCGATTCCCAGTCAGGACACATACCTAGGTTTGGGATTCAATCCTGGTCCGGATGTGTATGGGAAGCAACTGACCGATGTCTCTTTCTCATCAATGTTTCTCTCTCCCTCCCCCTCACCTCCCATTTCCTTCTCTAAAATCAATTAAAGAAATTATAGGAGGTAAGCAAAGGATATAGTCATACATAAACCTACTAGAACTACTTGATGATTCAAACTGTATGGGCACCATGGATAAATATAAAAACTAAAGGAAACAAAACGAATCTGTGAGGGTTGATTAAGCAGATATTACACACACAGACTTCAGCTGCCAAACATTTGAAGGAAAATGCCCTTATGTAGAAAGCAGGATGGAATATTAGATGAGTGGGCAAAATCAAGACTGGAGAATTTCTAAACCCTTTCAAACCCCCTGCATAGGTAGGAGGGAGAAGCCATGAGAGAGGCAGAAACTGAAGCGACATGTGTGGTGATAACAGAGTGCTCATCAGCAGGTGAGGAGCTGGCACGTGGGTGGAAGTCACCCTCGGAGAAGACAAGCACAAAAGGCCATGGCAAGGTCAGGTAATGCAGGTGGAGACTGTGGAGTCCCAATGACGGGGAAGAAAATTTGGTTAGGGGCAGAGAAGCAGAGGGTCAAGGCACCAGAGCTTCCAATCAAGAGCAGGTTTGGGGGAAACAGAAGGAAGTGGAGAAAATAAGACTTGTGAATTTAAATTTGCAGGTGTCCAATGGCTCCCATCATTTATTCAGCAGACATTAGGGATTCTATATGCATATGGCAAGAGAGATAAGTTAAGCACTAGTCCCAGTCCTGAAGTAGCTAGGACTGTGTTGGGTGGGAGAGACTTAAGTTCCAGTGGCTCTAATCACCACAAGTCCTAGGTGTGTCCTTGGCAATGAGATTCTAGAGTGAAGTAAAACTGAGGGCCAGGTTCAACAGGCAGGGAAACTACAGCAGCTCAGGGCAATGGCAAAAGTTGGGCAGAGAGGAGAGCAGGGTAGAGACTCTAGTTATCCCTAGAGCAGGGTAGTGAGCAGCCAACAAATTCCAGGGTCCTAGGTAAAATGGCAGCAATGGAAGAAAGGGTTTGAATGAGGTGAAAAATGTAAACACATATAACATAAAGAAAATGCACATCTTATCACCTGCCCCTAAAATATTTTCACAGACCTAAACATAGCACCTTAGGGCAGGATCTAAGAGATACAAGGCACATTAAATGAAGTGTAAGGAATGGAAATAGCAACTTAAAAATGCCCCATTACACTTAAAACTTAACACGATACCAACCTGGATTGATCTGCAGAGTTTCTGCCATGACTGGATCAATTTGCAGCTGGGACAGTAATGGCCTCTGCTGAGTTCCTACAATATAAATTTTAAAACTTAACTAAACTTAAAACACAATACCAGCATGTTTATGTCCCAGAAATTAAGCCCCAAATAATCTTTCTGGGTTCTTAAAAGTCTTAAAAATAAAAGTTTAAATAATACAATTTACTAATATTTCTAGACCAAAGGTCTGTAAGACAAAAACCTGTACTCAGGATTAAACCAAAAAGAGCAATGAACAGCATTCCTGGTTCTCCCTCCGGAGGCTGGTGTTCCCGGGCTGGAGAGAAAGCCTGGAGATAAAGGGGAAAAGGTAGAAAAGCGAAAGGCGGTGCTGCAAGGACCCACAGCTTGCACCATGAGAGGCAGGTGACTGCCAACTGCAAGGTCAACATAAGAGGCATCTCTCTCCATCACCTGGGTTCTCACCATTATGACTCACTCCACCCACCCCTGGACTTACAAAACCAAACCCTCCAGAGTTATCTGGTCAGAGAGTGCCCAAAAGACTAACTATGGCTTCATGGATATAAAGAGAACCCTGAACAAGCATAACTCTCAGGTGTACTGTCCAGGTCCTACCAAAGCATGAAAATAACCACTTGGATTTCCCAGAACCGTGTTTCCCAAAGTGTGGTATGCGTACCCCCAAGGGTACGGGAAGAGTTTGGTGGGGGTACACGTTGCACCGGAGTTTGGTGGGGTTATGCACTGCACTGTGCTTAGCTGCACCTAATTCTACGTTCTCATGAGTACGAGGGATAGTCAGCGTTATGAAAATTATAGAAAGGTACACATATGTCAAAAGTTTGGGAAACACTGTCCCAGAAGATGCTCAGCTAGAAAGACTCATATTTCTTCATAGTTACACTGCAAAACACAAACAGCACTGACACAGCACTGACTGTCTCTATCTTCAACACAGCACTCTTCCTCCAAATCCCCCAATCCAATGCATAGCATATATTAGGTACTCACTCGCTTGCAAACTTGAGACACAGTACAACCCGATTGATAGGGATGTAACTGGCAGGGCTCCACACACAGAAATATTAGGTGCCTGCACGCTAACTTTTAGTGTATCTACTACTGGCAGCTTCACAAGGATAACCTTTGCTCACTCAGTGAAAACATGCAACTGCCAACTACCATTTTCATTAAAAGGGTTTTTAAATTGTAAAAGCTATTTTTCAAAATTGTATCAGCTATTTTCTTTTAAAATATAAGCTACATTACTCTGTAGTGGTATACCAAAATAGAAGTTAATTCCTTCCAAAATTATCATGGTAAAAATACAGTAAATTTCAAGGAGCTGACCTGAAAATGAAAGACAGATGTCTTTTAGTCAAGCTAGCATTCCTGAGAAACTGAAAAGGATTAGGGAAAAAATGCTCTTCTAATTAAAATACAACAGGTTTTACATTTAAAAAGAAATTCCCAAGACAGATATTTAAAAAAAAAAAAAAAAAAGGACCATTTTCTCACATTTCAACTTTTGCTTCATTTCTCTTTGCTCCCTTATCTTTTCAACACATCATTTCAGAGAGACCCACTAGAGAGGACGGAATTCTGGTTAAGTTCTAGACTTCTAAGTTAAATCATGCAGGGTCCAATTTTGTCATTAAATGTCCATGAAAATTTTTAAGCTCTTGGTGACATGCTGCCTCTGTATGAGAACTAGTCAGGTTACAGGAAAATATATAGTGCCATGGATACCTAGAATCTATCACACTATGAATTTACCTTTCTCAATGTTGCTAAGGAAGCCAATTATTTTTACATCAGTAGTCCTTGACTGTGACTCAAAATCTACTTCCTCTTGAAGACCTTTAAACTGTCTGTCGCATTCAGCTGTTGATGTTGAATATTCATTCATTTTAACCTCCAAAGATGAAATTTTTGCTTCATTCTGTGAAACTCTAACTTTTAAATCAAAAAGATTTGCTTCCGCTGTCAACATTGCTGTTTTCATTTCTTTAATTTCATTGATATCAGTTGATATTTTCCTTAAAAGATGGGAAATATTGTCTAGCTCATTCAATGAACAAGAGGAACTTGTTACAGAACCTAAGTCAACTGGCTCAGGTGAGACGAAAATCGGTAAAGATGGTGAAAACCTTGAAGACATTTTCATAAAATTCTCTCCCTCCTACTTTTTAAATACTTTCCTTTGAAGCCCATTAAATTGTTTCATCAAAAGTAATAGTAATTAAGACTTTTACTTTAAGCAGCATTAAGAATGAATAACATTTTAAACCTGTAACTAAAAACACAGGATTGTATATTTCTGTACTCAAAACTCAAAAGTCCTACTTATAGCTCCTCTCCAAACAGTAAGCCCTATTATTACATACAAGAGAATCTGGCTTCTGATTGGCTGAAAACAGAGATGTGACACACAAAGAATTTTTCTATTACTAACCTCATGACAAGGAGCACTGAAGGTTTGGGATGTAAATTAAGCAATATAACAACATTAAGTACTTTATATTGGGATATAATGTGAATTAAGTATAATTTTGTCCTGACATCTATTAAATAATAGTTTTTAAGCTTCAGATTATTTAGTGTTTAGTAACTTCAGTTTCTTCCCTTAAAAATGGTAAAGGACAGTTATCTAGCATTTCCTTTGTAAGCAGAGGACAGGGAGGGTTATTAGACTCATGATCATACACAAATCTCTCTAAAAATATGTGGCCATAATGGAATTCAACACACTGATATGAAATGGTAGAAATTTAAAGATAGGGGAAATGAAGACTTTGCCTTGGCTTGATGCTAAAACATTATTAGATATGTGGTTTTCTTCCATTCTATGGGTTGTCTTTTCATTTTCTTGAAACACACCAATTTTAAACTTTGATCAAATCCAATTGATCTAATTTCTTTGACTTTTGGTGCCATATCTAAGAAACCATTGCCTGCCTATACCAAGCTTGCTTATTTATTTACACCTATGTTTTCTCTTAAGAGTTCTATAATTTTAGCTTATATTTAGGTCTTCGACCCATTTTGAATTAAAATTTATATATGTAGTAGTCAAGGACCCAACATCATTCTTTTGCCTATAGTTATCCAGCTGTCCAACACCATCTATTGAAAAAGACTATTCTTTCCCCCATTAGATTGTCTTGATAAATTTGTTGAAAACCAATTGATCATAAATGTATGGTCCATTTCTGAATTCTCAATTTGATTCCATTGGTCTTTATTATACCTTATGAGAGTACCAGTTTTAATTACTGTAAGTCTGTAGCAAGTTTTGAAATTCGGAAATGTAAGTCCTTCAACTTTATTATTTTTCAATAGTTTTGGCTATTTAGGTTCTTTTCATTTCCATATCAATTTTAGGAACAGTTTGCCAATTCCTGCAAAAAAACAAGCAGGAATATTAAAACAGAGTTAAATTTATAAGTCAATTTGGGAGTATCGCCAATTTAAAATATGAAGATGCAAGATGGTGAATACGACTACCCAGTGCTTCTCCAAAAAAGTGATTTTTTAAAATATATTTTTATTGATTTCAGAGAAGAAGGGAGGAGAGAGAAAGAAACATCAATGATGAATGAGTCATTGATTGGCTGCCTCCTGCATGACCCTACTGGGGATAGAGCCCACAACCCGGGCTTGTGCCCTGATTCACAGGTTGACACTCAAGCACTGAGCCACACAGGCTGGGCAAAAGAGTAATTCTTATAAATAATTGTAGCCTTTGGTTTCTCAGCTGAATAGATATTGTTCACAATAATAAAGAAAAAATGTTTAAGTTTATTTAATAATCTTTATTCATTTCTCTATTGTATCTGTAAATTAACCTATTTCTTTAAAAATCTTTGGATAGAAAATCATTTTCAAAATTTACAAGGCATTGGATTCACATAGAACTTTTTAAGAGCACGAGCTTATGGATGACACCTATAGCACACATTAGGAAGAGCCGTGTGCCACCTGCAAACCAGGTGGTTACTGGAGGGTAGCAAACATACTCGAATGAGAAAAGCAGAGAGAAGTCACAAGAAAACAAGGTAGCTAAAAAAAAAAAAAGCCCATTTGAAGATTCTTGTTGTCACCCATTGTGCCTAGACCAACTTTAGAATGCAAAATAAGCCAAGACCCTTCTATAGATTCTAGTGAAAATATCTACCAGCAGAGGAAGTTTACATATTTTAAGGAAACTGGAACCTTGAAAGGTTAATGTCAGCTAGTAAGTGGCAAAGCCTGGATTAACACCCAAGCAATCAGGCCCCCTAAGTCCATTTAGTCAGTCACAGTCACTATCTTATATTTCTCTTCTTGATGTATCATGTGGAATAAAATGTCAGAGAAATTCACATGGTATAATTCCTATTTTATATACACATATATGTGCATGCACATAAATATACATGTAATTCTATTTTATACAGAAAAGTGAACATGTACATACATTTTTAAAAAGCCAGGAAGACCAGAAAGCACACAAAACTAGTTTGGGTGCAGTGCTTACCTCTGAGGAAGACAGTGGGCAGAGCACAGGGGGATTTCCCTAGTTTTCTCTTAATATAAACCTCCTCTTTTACTAAGACTCTCTAAGTGCTTCCAGTCCAACATGATAGATCAAGTATATGCGATTATAGCCTCTCCTCTAGAGAATCCATGAAAAGGAAGGAAGGAACTTAAAGGGCACAAGTCTTCAACATACAGCAATGAATTCCAAATTGGCTTTTTTTTTTATATATATATTTATATTTTATTGATTTTACACAGAGAGGAATTGAGAGGGACAGAGAGTTAGAAACATCGATGAGAAACATCGACCAGCTGCCTCCTGCACACCCCCCACGGGATGTGCCCGCAACCAAGGTACATGCCCTCGACCGGAATCGAACCCGGGACCTTTCAGTCCGCAGGCCGACGCTCTACCACTGAGCCAAACCGGTCCCGGCCCAAATTGGGTTTCTAATATTAGCCAATAAAATGTAGGAAGAAGCCGAAACCGGTTTGGCTCAATGGATAGAGCGTCGGCTTGGGGACAGAAAGGTCCCGGGTTCGAT